AAGTAATGGTGAAAAATATCAATTTGTTCGGCATTAGAGTTGTAAGGAATGACCACTTCTTAAAACATTGATTATAGTTTCAGTAGTGATTTCAATGTGTGGTTTCAATAGTTTCTGTTTGCGAGTGCTTTTTCCTCGCAATAGTTTTGGCTTCATATCTGTTACCAGAATAGGAAACAACGATTATAGTAATGTCAACTCGTGTTATATGACTACCCATATGATAGGCTTTGATGTCCTCTCGGGCCACAATCTCATCTCCGATCGCGGCCTCGATTTTGATATCGAATTGATGTCGCTTTAGATGGTTCTTAAGCTTAGCGCACATATTCTTGCCATATGTTGTGGCTCTGAACGCATTCACCAAATGAGACAACTGATTGACGGGCTTATCATTAAGAAGTATATCGAGTTTGACTAAATCGGTGCTCTCATAGCCAATGTCTTTGTAGACAAACGAGGCGTAACCCGATGTGACAGCCTTTAACTCATGGTTAAAGTCGATAATTATTTCACTCAATGGAAACTTATACGAAAGAGTTGTGGTATTCATTTCAGAATAACAGGTATTGATGTGAACGCCACGTCTATTAAGACATATTCTGGACACATGTTTCGAGTAATTTTCAGGTGTAGTGACAGTCCCGATGACCATCGGCTCAAAGAATTCGCTAATAATGTTGACATTTGGTAATTCTAATGCATTCGTTATAATGAGTTCTTCGCGTCCATACTTTTTTATATTCTTGTCTCCTTTTATTTTGACTAAATTTTGAGTAAAATTCACAATTAATTGCTATAAACTTGTTATAAAATACAAGTGACAAACCTTTGTAGGGAACACTTGGAGGTAGTATTATAACTTGAGTATCAAATCTAATTTTAAAAATTAACAAATTATTTTAATCCATAATTTTTTAAAAAGGTTAGAAGTTTTACTCGTCATGAAGTCGTTGAAAGAAGACCTCCATATCAAGTATTCCGGAAAAACCTAATCTATAATTGAAATTATAGTATATTTTAATGAGAAATGTTTATTGAATTACAAATAAAAAGTTTAGGCACCGAAAGCCTTTGCCGAACGCCGGATGTGACTCTGTATTCAAATGGACGGCACTGTAATTGAGAAGCAATTTATTGATGTTTCGCGAACACAATTGATAGTCCGACTGTTGTGTGGGGTAGACATTGACAAACGCCATGGGAATTGGTTTAGGAATTTTAGGTCCTTTTATCGCATATAAATTATCAAATGATTTGTACCCCCTTTTGATAATAATGTCTCCAATGTTAACATCATTACAATTAGTATTATTAGCCTCAATAACGCCTATCTGTCCGGCATAGAGTGCATTAGTAGACACTTCTTCGGCGTGTAAAACACTAATTTTCTTAATTCTATGGATCTTATCGGTGGACAAAACTTTAATCTCATCATTAATTTTAAGACATCCCTCTCTTATTCGTATAAGAGATTTCACTCCACGGAACGGTTGACGCCATAAATCAAATACCATTGCCTTTTATTAAGTTAAAATCAAATACCATTCCCTTAGTTTATTAAAATAATTTCAGCAAATATTAAAATACCTCTAAAAAGGGATTGTTTGGGTCGCCTCTCGGGGCGGGAATCCTAACAATCAATTCATTTAACAGTTGTTCAACATTTGTTCCACATTTGGCCGATACGTGCAAAATATCCTCTTCTTTGAAATCAAACCATTTGTTCATCTGAAGAGCGACAGACTGTTGATCCGCTTTCTTGAGATCAATTTTGTTGATGACTGGAATTATATGTAACCCTGATTTTTGAGCATGTTTGAAGTAATCTACAGTTTGGGCTTCTACTCCGCTCTTGGCGTCCACCACAAGGATAGCGCCCTCACACGCGGGCACCGATCGCCAGACTCCGTAACTGAAGTCCACGTGACCCTATAGTAGACACACATTGCACTTAATTCACGTAAACCTCTTATCCCTTACCGGAGTGTCTATCATATTGAGAAGATATGGGGTGTTGTTGTAGTTCCAGACCATCGAACACGTGTGTGCCTTAACTGTGATTCCTCTTCTCATCTCGACATCCAATTTATCCAAATATTGTTTACCAATAATTTCTTTGGGTATAGTTTTGGTCTCTTCGAGCAAACGGTCGCAAAGAGTAGTCTTCCCGTGATTTATGTGAGAAATGATACAAAAGTTGCGAATCAGTTCCGGAATATAGACAGACATTTCCATCTGAAAGCCAGACAATACTCATTAATCAATTAGTCATGTCTTTTAATCACTTCAATCAAACATTTTTCTCTTTTTGAATGATTTTATCGTATTTTTGAGCCGAAAAGTGTTTTAAATTGAAACCAATTTTTCGGATATTCATCAAAACACTCAAACGATTTAAACGCAGAGTAGTAATCATTGTAAAACTTTTTGTTTTTTAAACTTTAAAAGTCTATTACAATTACACTTAAAACACAATAATTAAATGGTTTTTAATACAAGCTATCATACGATAGAATTATCTGTTTTCTCTAAGATTGGGTCAGTCTTAAGACAATTCCAAGCTTTCTGTATAAATCTAGACAAAAAACTTTTATATATCTGTTAACTTTCAGCGACTGTATGAGAATGACTTTTGTATCCACTTTTAGGCATTTCTCTAACTGTAAGATTTGAATCAATTCATTTGGGAGGCACTAACGCATCCATATTATTGTCCATTTAATCTTCAGTGTATAAAATAAGTCTTCTTCAGACAAATACCATTCCCACTGCTGTCTAAGAAGGCGGTCACCAAAAGGGTTACCTAAGAGTGTTAGACTAGCACTAAAAAAGTTACGAAAAACTTTTCAATATTTATAGCTTTATGCCAATTATAACAGTAATTGATTTGAATGATGTATTCACTGGAATGTAAACCAAAGTTTAGAAGTAATATTGGGTTAAAACGATGCTATACTTCTCGTAGACCAAAAAAGCGATAGGAATTTGTAATCTTATCGTTTTGAGTAAGTTTTTTATTTTTCATTTTTTTCTTAGGTGTAGAGAAACTATCAATGTTTTCATCTTATTTATTACAATCCTTGGACTCTATATTTAATTTAATGCTTCTCTAACTGTAAGACTTTGGGGTTAGAGGTAAAGGCAGGGCTTACCCATCCATCCATTGTATTGTTAATTTTCATTTAATAAAGTGAATATTCTTCAGACAAATACCTTTCCCACGACTCCTGTGTCTAACTTTTTGTCTGAGGAGGGATTTATCAAAAAAGGGTTATCTAACGTTACGCAAGTTGCCAAAATTATTGCAATATTTTTAGCTTTTAACCAATTATATCAAAAATTGCGTTCAATGCAGTCATAAAATTTTTGATATGTACGGCAAACTTTACAAATATAATTATATTAGGTTAAAATAATAAGCTAGTTGTAGTCCAGACGTAATAATCTAGATTTTTTAGTGTAAGACGTTTAACGTTTAACAAAAAAGGGTTTTTCAAAATGTGTTTTTTGTTATTTTTAGAAATAGTAGCTGTTTTTAACAAACCATTTATTATAGATATTAATGTTTCTTACAATCAGTTTAAAAACAATGTTTTCGTCAATTTTTACATAATTTACAATTTAAAATGTCATATAAATAATAGTAAAAACAATAACTCAAGAGAAAAGTAAAATTAAATTTTCACGAATTGGAGTCAATTGTGTTGTACTAATAGTATTGGCGGACAACTCGTAATTCAAGCGCTTGTATTCAGTGGAGAAAAACAAAATAAATAGACACGAAATGAATACAATAATTGATGACATTATTATCAATGAATCTGGAAATTAATTCAAAGAGCATTAAACATAAGCAAAACAATTAGATTTTTTGAGAGTTTTTACATTTATAGTCATAAATTCCAGGCAAAGACTCGACGGCTAATTGAGTGATAAGGTATGTGAAGACAATGCCCTGAATTTGTCCCGAAATCATTAGTAGTCCAGAAGTGGTGGCCTCGGGAACCACTGGAAAAGAGCACTCAATCCCCAACTCTAATCCCAGAGGGTATGACATGAACCCAAAGAATCCAAAAATAGCACAGAATATAGAGATTACAAGTTTATTGTTTGTATAATTAAGTGATACTAATAATCCAATGATTGAAAGAGTTGCCAAAGCAATGGATAGTTTCATTGCTGTCGTGTATCTCTTATTCTTGTCGACCACATAACTGACAGAAGCGGCGCCCATAAGACCCGAAC